GAGACTACAGTCAAATGGACAGAGGAGCCAGCGTAAAGGGGCTACCAGTGTCCAAATCTGGGACAATTTTGAGCATTGAAATGAATAATGATGGCTGGGCATTGTGGCTCACATCTATAATCCCAGCGCTTTGGAAGGCCAAGGCAGACAGATCACTTGAGCCCAGAAGTTTGAGACCAGCCTGAACAACACAAAGGAAAGGGCAAGGGCAAGGGAAAGGGAAAGGGAAAGGGAAAGGGAAGAAGGGAAAAAAAAGGAAAAAAGGGAAAAAGGGAAAGGGAAGAAAAATGATAATAGATTAAAATACAATGACTTTTTAAAAAAATCTACTAGTCTACGGTGCTACATGAAGCAGAGGTGGGGAAAAGAAAGGAATGAAGAAAGAAAGGGAAATTAATTCTTTACAGCAGACTGCTATAAAGGTAGAAGAAACGGCAGATGTGAAGAATCACCATTTTACTACCCCCCAATGTAATAACTGGTTCAGGCAAGAATCATGAATGGATGCTAAAATCACTGACAGGAAGATTTAGGGGAACTCAAATAATCTCAAAGTACTATCCTATAATTACTTATTAATTGCAAAGAAAGAAAAACTGTATACTTTTATAATGAAGAGAGCTAGCAATCACCACTTTAACCAATAGCGGAACAACCTGACATCATCTGCCTTTGATGTAATGAAGTAAGAAGTACCCATCAGCTATGCAATATTCTTGAGGGGGAATAAAAAAAGCTTAACTTGAATCTAAGCAAGAGGAAACAATCAGACAAATCCATAATGCGGCACATTCTACAATAAAATTATGCTGGTCTCTTAAAAAAAAGTCAATGCCATAAAAACAAAAGACAAAACAAAAGAGGGAAGGGAAGGAGTCTGGATTTGAATTAAGGATATTTAGGTATCTAAAACCCAAATGCAACATGGTAACCTTGACTGGATCCCACTTTTTAAAATTTTTTGTCCAATTATAAAAGACATCTGGGCCAGGTGCAGCGGCTCACATCTATAATCCCAGCACTTTGGGAGGCTGAGGTGGCCGGATCACTTCAGGCTGATCTCAAGAGTTGACGACCAGCATGGCCAACATGGTGAAACCCCATCTCTACTAAAAATACAAAAATTAGCTGGGCGTGGTGGCGGGCGCCTGTAATTCCAGCTACTTGAGAGGCTAAGGTGAGAGAATCACTTGAACCTGGGGGGCAGAGGTTCAGTGAGCCAAGACTGTGCCATTGCACTCCAGCCTAAGTGACAGAGTGAAACTATGTCTCAAAAAAAAAAAAAAAAAAAAAAAAAAAAAAAAAAAAAAAAAAAAAATCCTTTTTTATAAAAAAAAACAAAGGAAAAAATTAAAACTATTTTTAAAAAAAAAAAAAAAAAGACATTTAAAGGGCAACTGGGGAAATTTCAATATGGACTATATATAAATAATATTATTGAATTAATGTTAATTTCCTTAGATACAAAAATGATGTTGTGGTTATATGAACAATGTCTTTATTCTTAAAACAATAAGAACTGAAGTACTCAGGAATGAGGAATCATGACATCTGCAACTTTCAAATGGCTCAGCAAAACACACACACAAACAAAGTAAATGTGATGAAATATTAACAACTAGTGAATCTGAAAAATAAGTTCTAGATTCAAGTAGATACTTGATATTAAGGAACTACAATGTTTTTAAGTGTAAAAATTATATTACAACTGTGTTAAAAATAAAAATGCCCTTACCTTTTAGAGTTGCCTACTGAAAGTTTTTTTTAACTTTGTTGTTTTGTTGTTTTGCTTATTTAACCTCTTGACTTGATTATCTTTGTTCATTGCTTTCTGCTACCTAGAACAAGTAACCCAGAATCTATAACCTTCAGGAGTGTGAAGTTATATTCCATCCTGCTTAGCCTTCAGCAGTCACACTTTTTTGTTGCTGTTGTTGAGACAGGGTCTGGCTCTGTCACCCAGTCTGGAGTGCAATGGCATGATCTCGGCTCCCTGAAACCTCTACTTCCGGGTTCAAGCAATCTTCCCATCTCAGCCTCCCGAGTAGCTGAGATCACAGGTGCACACCACCACAACTAGCTAATTTTTGTATTTTTAGTAAAGATGAGGTTGGTTTCTTGCCATGTTGCCCAGGCTGGTCTTGAACTCCTGAGATCAAGTGATCCTCCCACCTCAGCCTCCCAAAGTGCTGTGATTACAGGCATGAGCCACCATTCCCAGCCCGAAGTATTTATTAATTGAAATCATGTTTGGAATTTGCTTTAAAAAAATTAAAGGGGGGTGAAAGGAAGTACAAAAAGTCTAGCCATGTTGAAGCTGAGGTAATGGTACCTAAGAATTCATTATATTACAGTTTCTACTTCTGCTTATATTTGAAAATTTCCATTAAAAATGTTCTAATTCTGTTTTAATACTAATATTTTAGGGATTATTTAAAGTCTGTCTAAAACTCAAAGAAAATGAAGATATATATGGAACTGGAAGATCAGGAAGATAAACCCAAGTCTTCAAACCATAAACTGGACACTCATACTGTATAATTTTGAGGAGATGGCCTCCAGGCTTTTTATGAGAGCATGACACATAGTTACATCATCACCATCAACCTGGTGGCTCCTACATTATCAACCTTCTTCTATGCCACTTATTCAAAAAAAAGGGAGAAATCATAGGGATCACTAATTAAATTTTAAAATTGAGAAGGGGTATTTCCTACCAAAGGGAAAAGAATGGAATAGAATGTTTATAAAACATAACTTGAAGGAAAGGCAACCTAACAAATTATTTCTGTTTAATTATTTTAAATTTTATCTCCTTCAATTTTTATAGCACGCTTATCTTGATTTTACATTTTGAAGAATAATTAAAAAGAAAAATCCCATTTTAACTAGTAAAAAGCACCTAGGCTAGGCATGATAGCTCACGCCTGTAATCCCAGTACTTGGGAGGCAGGTAGATCACTTGAGCTCAGGGGTTCGAGACCAGCCTGGGCAACACAGGCAAACCCTGTCTCTATTTTAATATATGAATTTAAAAATAATAATAAAACATCTAAAAGCTGTGTGGGACAGAGGGGAGGTCAAGTAAGGAGATCCTACCTCCATCATGACTAACTTATCGGGATATGCCAGATCTCCAGGAGCTGGTTTATAGCCCGTGATGTCCGTCTGAATGTAGATGTGGGTTCGGTAGACAAGCCGCTCCTGTACATCTTCTAACATCTGCTTGACTCCGGCTGCAAATGCCCCCAGTTGCTCAGCTGATAAAGAAAGTGCAATAAGCCATTATTTTAGATTTAGAAAAACACTTTCTTTTAAACAAGCAAAGATATTACTAAATTATTCAGAAACAGTATGAACCACTTTTGCTTCAAGGCTGTGGCTGTATTCTACTTCAGTATGACTCAATGAGCTTGGAAAAGTTTAATAAATGTCTTTCAATTGTCTCAACTTTAAAACTCGGCAATACTGTTAATCATATTATTAATATGAATAATAAAATCTGAATTTGAAGAGTGCTTTGCTCTTTAAAATTTAATTTCTATAGCTTTAGGCCAAAGCTAAGAAATTGCTAGGGTAGCTTATTAACTGGGCTATCATCATCCCCATTTTACAGATAAATTGAGTACCACAGATATTAAATGACTAGTTAACATTTTCACAGAGACAAGTACAAAGTAAAATAAGTATGAGTTTATATAGTATTTCTTTATTTTTAAGATGCCATCAGCCAGGCACAGTGGCTCATGCCTGTAATCTGAGCATTTTGGGAGGCCAAGGCAGGCAGATATCTTGAGCCCAGGCATTCAAAATCAACATGGCAAAACCCTGTCTCCACAAAAATAAAAAATTGCAAAAACTTAGCCAGGCATGGTGATGCGCAGCTATAGTCTCAGCTACTTGGGAGGCTGAGATGGGAATCACCTGAGCCCAGGAAGTTGAGGCTGCAGTGAGCTGTGATCATGCCACTGCACTCCAGCCTGGGCAACAGGGTAAGACCCTGTCTCAAAAAAACAAACAAAAAAAAAAATTGCCATCAATGTTAAGACATACTAGTAATCTAGTAACAGCCTTCCAAAAGACAGGGTGTTAAATATACCACAGAATCACATGAGGCCAGGCATGGTGGCTCATGCCTGTAATCCCAGCACTTTGGGAAGCCCAGGTGGGAGGATCACTTGAGTCCATGAGTTCAAGCCTAGCCTAGGCAACACAGTGAGANAAAAAAAAAAAAAGAAGAAGGAAGAGGAAGGAGGAAGAAGAAGGAGGAGGAAGGGGAAGAAGGAGGAGGAGGGAGGAGGAAGAGGCAGAGAAGGAGGAAAGAGGAGGAGAAAGAGGAAGGAGGAGGAGAAAGAGGAAGGAGAAGGAGGAAGGAGGAGGAAGGAGGAGGAGAAAGAGGAAGGAGAAGGAGGAAGAGGAAGGAGGAAGGAGAAAGAGGAAGGAGGAGGAGAAAGAGGAAGGAGAAGGGGGAAGAAGGAGGAGGAGAAAGAGGAAGGAGGAGAAGGAAGAAGGAGGAAGGAGGAGGAGAAAGAGGAAGGAGAAGGAGGAAGAAGGAGGAAGGAGGAGGAGAAAGAGGAAGGAGGAAGGAGAAAGAGGAAGGAGGAGAAAGAGGAAGGAGAAGGGGGAAGAAGGAGGAGGAGAAAGAGGAAGGAGGAGAAGGAAGAAGAAGGAGGAGGAGAAAGAGGAAGGAGGAAGGAGAAGGAGGGAGGAGGAAGGAGGAGAAGGAAGAGGAAGGAGGAGGAAGGAGAGGGAGAAGTGGGGGGAGGAAAGAAAAAAAATTAACATTAATTTTGGCCAGTTGCAGTGGCTCATACGTATAATTCCAGCACTTTGAGAGGCCAAGGAAGGCAGATTGCTGGAGTCCAGGAGCTCAAGGCTGGCCTGGGCAACATGGCAAAATCCCCTCTCTACAAAAAAAATATAAAAATAGCTGGGCATGGTGGCGACACCCAGGTACCTGTAGTCTCAGCTACTCAGGAGACTGAGGTGGGAAGATCACTTTAAACCGGGAAGCAGAGGTTGTAGTGAGCCAAGATCACGCCACTGCACTCCAGCCTGGGTGATGAGTGAGACCCCAAGTCAAAAACAAAACCAAAACAAAAAATTCTTATTTTAAAATCAGAGGCAATAAAAAATTCAGAAGCAGCTGGGCATGGTGGCCCACACTTATAATCCCAGCACTTTGGGAGGCTGAGGTGGGTGGATCACGAGGTCAGGAGATCGAGACCATCCTGGCCAACCAGGTGAAACCCCATCTCTACTAAAATACAAAAAAATTTAGCCAGGCATGGTGGTGAATGCCTATAGTCCCAGCTACTTGGGAGGTGGAAGCACGGGGATCGCCTGGACCCAGGAGGTGGAGATTGCAGTGAGCTGAGATTGTGCCACTGCACCAGCCTGGTGAGAGTAAGACTCTGTCTCAAAAAAAAAAAATTCAGAAGCAGTAAAACATGAGAAAATGAATGAGTTAAATGCAGTGAAGTAACTTTGGAAGAGCAACAAATCCAGAGCGTCTCAATGAAAGCCAAAGTGAGGACAATAAATTCTGCAAGTAAAATAATTACCAGAAGGGGGCTGGGCACATAACCCCAGCACTTTGGGAAGCCAAGGCGGGCAGATCGCCTGAGGTCAAGAGTTCAAGACCAGTCTGGCCAAAATGGCAAAACCCCATCTCTACTAAAAATACAAAAAAATTAGCCAGGTGTGGTGGCGTGCACCTGCAATCCCAGCTACTTGGGAGGCTGAGACAGGGGAATTACTTTAAACAGGGAGGTGGAGGTTGCAGTGAGCCAAGATTGCTGCACTGCACTCCAGCCTGGGACACAGAGCGAGACTCTGTCTCAAAAATAAAAGGATAATTACTCAAAGGGTATGTTTGTTTGTTTGTTTGTTTGTTTTTGAGACAGAGTCTGGCTGTTGTTGCATGCACTGGAGTGCAATGGTGCGAACTTGGCTCACTGCAACCTCCATCTCCCAGGATCCAGTAATCCTCCTGCCTCAGTCTCCCAAGTAGCTGAGATTACAGGCACCTGCCACCAGGTTGGGCTAATTTTTGTATTTTTAGTAGAGATGGGGTTTCATCATGTTGGCCAGGCTGGTTTCAAACTCCTGACTTCAGGCATTTCACCCGCCTCAGCCTCCCAAAGTGCTGGGATTACAGGCATGAGCCTGTAGGGTATTTTCTAAAGGTACCTAGGTACTGTTAGGAAAATCATGTTCTCTATGACAATCAAATCAAATACTGAAAAATGTATCACATGGACAAAGTAGGGCTATTCCAGAGAACTGCTTTTATCTGTAATAAAAAAGATGAACTATTATTATGAATATACACAAAAACAATTCCTGTTTTTTAATCAAAAGTATACAATATATTCAATTATTTATTTATGTATTTTGTATTCTGGTAACAGCATGCTAGAAATGCCTAACCAAAAGTGATGATGTGTTCTCTCTGAACTCCAGTTACCAGAAAGAAAACTGACTATAATTATTTTATTACTAATTTTACCATATTTTAATATTCTTTCCCTATCTGATTGTGTCTTTAGTGACAGAATAAGGTGTAACTTCATTCAAGAAGGGGCAAGGCATCAAGCCAAGCTTCAAAAATATTAAATTTATGTATTTAGTGGGGTGAGGGAAGAAGAACCTATTTTTTTTTTCAAATTCATTGAGCCAGTGATATAACTTAAAATGATCATTTCTACTCATTTACCATTGTTCTGCACATGATCTTCAAGCACCTCATTTTTAAGAATCCCACAAAGTTCCGACAGAGTCTCTAAGTGAATAACATGAATGATCAATGGCCTGAAGACATCATACAATGACACACACAGTTTCTCCAAAAGCTCACTAAAATGAAAGAATAAAACATGGCTATTAGTAGTAGTTTTTTCAGGATTTTCTAATAGTTTAGAAAGCCTCATTCCAGTTGATAAGAATGATAAGTATCTACTGGAAAATAGTATCTGAGAACATTATAGAATGATAAGGGAAAAGCTGATTGAAAGTAATTCTATAGTAAACTGTTTTGCTTTAAAAGCTCAGAAGCAATAAGCAATCCACAGCAGTCAACTCAAAGTAGCTGCCCCCAAACAAAAGTCAACCTATTACAACTTTTATCTATTTCAGCAATAATTTTCTATATGTCCTTTCAAAAACAATAAAAAATATTTCAGAAGATTTAATTACCTTTTATATTCTACTTCACTATGAATCAAATTATATTTTTCCCCCCCAGGAGAGACAAGTTCAAAATTTTTGAATACTTATAGATTTAGATAAATAAAATTCAAAGTACTTTGGTCATACACCAAGTACTTCGAGAAATCGTAAACATTTAAAAAGAAAAACTTAAGTTGTCTACATGCTTCATATTGTCAACGGTACTGTCTTCTATACAGAGTATTTCATCAAAAGTGATCACTTCCACTACAACGATAAAGTATTTTTCTCTTCCCCATTACAAGAGTCAAAAGCTTAGAATGTTTCTAAAAGTCAAAAGAGCAAACATGAAGAAACCAAAAGTGACTAACAGTGGATCTGAAAGACATTTTGAGAAAAATAAAGAAAAGGTTATTAAATAGTGTCTGTATTTTTTAATCTTTCATTAGTTAGAATCACAGAATTTTTTAACTAGAAGGAATTACTGTACTTAGTGGAGAGAAAGGGATCTAGACCCCGAGGCTACAGAATCCTGTAGAGGATTCTTCCTATCACACCACAATATCTAAATAATTACATTACGAACAATACGAAAGCATGTAAGTTGCACATTTAAGAAAATATCTGTCCCACCCAACAATATTCTGTTCTCACACACACACACACACATACACACACGTTAAAACACTCTGCAGTTCACGACAGAATACTCCTGTAATATACTGATTCAATATTGTCATTAGCAAGTTAAATTTTATGAACAAGAGTTAGATTCCACAACCACCTACTCTAATTTTGATGTTGGTTTTGTGAAAAATTCATTGTAAAGTTGGTGTTCATCCTGGCAGACATGAACCATGAAGGCACAGCCACTACGAACCTGCAGTAAACAAACACACACCACCCACAGTTAAAGACACACGACATTTCCAGTGTTTATGAAATAAAGCCTACGCTTTATCTGCAGAGATTACACATACATACTCTTAAAACAGCTTACTGAAGAACAGAAAACGGCTGGTTTTCAATAGATTACTACATAATGAAATTATAAGTGATTTTTATTTTCTTAATGCTTTAGTTTTCAAACTTTTAATAAACACAAATCCCTTTTCTAGTTCAAAAGTGGGTAGTTCAAAAAAGAGCCCTTATTCATTTTTTACAGCATGAATTAAAATTACACTAAACAAAAAAGCACTTCTGCCGTAAAAGCTAAGCTAAATTGTTAATATAAATCTACAAACTTTGAAATCTCATTTTTCAAGAACAATACTTATTTGTGAATCTTATCTCAAAAAATAAATAAAAATGAGACTATTTTGCAAAGTTGAGTAAGGCTAATTACCAAACTAGATTTGTCATAACTAAAACCATACGTTTTTAGTTCACTATCAGCATCAAAACTTATTTAACCAAGTATTGTTTCTAGGGTATCAACATAACTCAAAGGAAGATTTAACATTTAACCAAAACAAGCAGAAACTTACCAAGGCACAATGATCTCTGTTACTTTGGCTGGTTAACTCTGCAACAGTGCAAGCAATACTAGGGCCCAAAAGGAGCTCCCGCTGATCAAGGTAACACTGGTGGATATCACTGAGCAGTTGTTGGTATCTGACAGAAAACAAATAAGATTAAACTTTTGATTTTAGATATACAAATTAAATTTCATCTTGAATCCAAACCTCCTTTAAAGCTATAATGGTCACCTTTCATTTGCCCACATTAACTATTTAATATTATAAGTATAGATACAAAACAAAAGCAAACCCTAATGAACTGTGATCCCATAAGCTTCATCTTTTAAAGGATTTCTTTTTCAAGAATAGGGACACCACATCTGCCCAAATAAGAAGGAAATCCTAGTACAGGAAAAACTGCTGTCATGTAAACTTACTAGGTCTGTGACCTTGCTCCCCAAAATAAGTTGTGTGTTACAAGAACAGGCTAGGAGGCAACTGCTCATAAAATATCAGAGACGAAACCCGATTTGGAAAAACAGTGCTACAAGACAAGGCTAATGTGGAAACCAGATTAACTTCTAGGTACTCACTCAGGTATTTTTTCAGATCGCAGCTCTATTTGTTCAATAAGAGTCTGCAGAGTAAGAAAAAATGCATTTAAAAAGCCATCTGTTATACTATCCATTACTTTCTGATTATAATATTAATCGTATCACATACTCAGAAAAACTGTAAATATAAGAAAGTTAAAAATCATACAAATCACTTATAATACCAAAAATTAATCACAGCATTTCAGTATATTTTCTTTCCGTTTTTTTTATATCCACAGTGCCTATATTTTTCTCTTTACACAAAACTGTAATTATAGTACATATTCTGCTTTATAATCTGTTTTTTTAAAAATTAACATTATTGGGGCTGGGCGTCTCCCACCCGTAATCCCAGCACTTTGGGAGGCCAAGGTGGGTGGATCACAAGGTCAGGAATTTGAGACCAGCCTGGTCAATATGGTTAAACCCCATCTCTAATAAAAATACAAAAGATTAGCCAGGAATGATGGCATGCACCTGTAGTCCCAGCTACTCAGGAGGCTGAGGCAGGAGAATTGCTTGAACCCAGGAGGTGGAGGTTGCGGTAAGCTAAGATCACGCCGCTACACTCCAGCCTGGGTGACAGGCTCAAAAAAAAAAAAAAAAAAATTAACGTTATTTCATAAACATTTTCCTATCATTAAATACTTTTCAATACTAGATGAAAATGTACAGAAGCCTTTAGCATAGTATCTGGTACCTAGTATACACTTAATGAATCATAATAAACATGATTTAAAATATTATGCTAAAAGGCTACATAATATCTCATTTCTACTGACAGATATCTAGGTTGTTTCCAAAGAATCACAGCCCATTTGTGAAGAGCCTGGAGTGAAACTAGTGGGTTCCAGCACTCACTCCTTACTAGCCGTTTGAGCCCAGGCAAGCTGGTTCACTTCTGAGATTCCACTCCCTACTGTGTAAAACTGATACAATAATAGCACCTACCTCCCAGGTAGGGACCCCAAAACACCAGCTCAAAAGAGGTATGTATTTTTACAGGCTTTTGTTCTATTCTTCTAAAATGTTTTTAGAAAAGAATTCAGTTACATTTCTATCAGCAGCATTGTCTGTCTCATAAATCCTCAAAAGCACTGACCTTAATCTGCCAATTTCTGACAGACAAAAAAAAGTCACCCAACCTTAACTTGCATATATTTTCCACATGTTCTGTGAGTAATCTGGTCATTTTTTATCAGCTATTCATCTTTCTTTAGTTTCTTCAGCTCTTTAGTTCACTCGGAATATATTATTTTGGTAATGTTACAGAGTAAAAAGTTACTATTTTTTTCAAATATTTAGCAAATCTTCCCAATTCCATGTAGAAAATTCCAGCCTTTCCTTTTTTATTTGGGATGTTTCTTTATTTATTAAGTATTACAACTTTCCATTCCAATGATCTGTCAGTGAATGCTTGAATCAATGACAATATATTTTTCAAAATTTTCTTCTTTAGTCTTGCCTATTTACCAGAAAAAGTTTAGAATCATGAAAAAAAAATTTATTAGAATTTTTGCTAGGAGTACATTCTAATCCATAAATTACTCTGGGAGAAAGTGACATTTTAAAAATTAAATCACCCCAACCGGGAAGAAGATGGGCTTACCATTTATTTCATCTTTTATGATTTTCTGTCTAGTTTTGTCATTTTCTTCATTCTTATGTATCTGTTAAGGTTATTGCTAGGTAAGTATTTTATGCTTTTTGTTACTGATATAATATAAATGAAACCCCATCACATATACTAATTGGTTACTAATGGTATGTAGGAAAGCCACTGATAACTATATAATCATTTTATAGTCACCCACCACACTGAGCCCTCTTATCTATACCATTTCTTTCCTAATCAAACTTTTATCATTCGTATTTGGCTAATAAGCAAAAGCAATCAATCAGGCACAATCTAAGTCTCATGCCATCGATTGATATCCAGTTAGACATCTGTAAGACATCCAGGTTGTACCCATATTCTACATATATATTCTATAAACAAAACTAAGTTTCTCTCATTTCCAAAAAAAAAAAAAAAATCCTTTCAACTGGCTGGCTTTTTTTTTTTTTTTTAAGACAGGGTCTCACTTTGTCACCCAGCCTGGAGTGCAGTGGCACTATCTTGGCTCACTGAAGCCTTAGCTTCCTGGGTTCAAACGACCCTCTCACCTCAGCCTCCCAAGTAGCCAAACCACAGGTGCATGCCACCATACCCAGCTAATTTTTCTATTTTGGGTAGACAGGGTTTCACCATATTGCCCAGGCTGATCTTGAACTCTTAAACTTAAAAAATCTGCCCTCCTTGGCCTCCCAAAATACTAGGATTATAGGTGTGAGCCACTGTACCCAGCCGTCAACTGGCTGACTTTCAAGAGAGAAACAAGCAAGGAAGTGAAGTCAGTCAGCAGAAGTAAATTATTATTTCTAGAAACTTAGCAATGAGTAGAAATAATATATATGCACCAGCTTCAATAAAATGTATCTCAGCTATGTTATAAAATATAACACACATTTATCTTTGCCCCTCCATGCTATCAATTAAAATAAATACATTGTGCATTCCTTTATGTACCAGACACTGCTATGCAGAATGAATAAGGTACATATCCAACCTCATGAAATATTCTACCAATGCATTAATTCAACCCCTAATATCTCACTTGGATTACTGCAGAATCTTCCTTAGTAATGAGGCTTCCCTGTCTCAAATCTCTCTTCATCATAATACATTCTTTATATTGCATCCTTAACCTTTTTTTTTTTTTTTTTTTTTTGAGTCAGAGTCTCACTCTGCCATCCAGGCGGGAGTGCAATGGTGCGATTTCAGCTCACTGCAACCTCCGCCTCCTGGGTTCAAGCATTTCTCCTGCCTCAGCCTCCCAAGCAGCCGAAATTACAAGCTCCCGCCACCATTCCTGGCTAATTTTTTTATTTTTAATAGAGACGAGGTTTCACCATATTGGCCAGCTGGTCTCTTGGCCAGGCTGGTCTCAAACTCCTGACCTCATGATCCATCCGCCTTGGCCTCCTAAAGTGCTGGGATACAGGCATGAGCCACGGCACCCAACCGATCTTTTTTATCAATGCATAATAATTGTACATATTTATAGGGTAAATGTAATATTTTGATACATGGATACAATGTGTTATGATCAAATCAGAATGTTTAGAGTATCCATCACCTCAAACATCTATTATTTCTTTGTGGAGGAAAAATTTCAAATCTTCCCTTTTAGCTATTTTGAAATATACAATAAATTTTTAACTACAGGCATCCTACTACGCTACTGAACACTAGAACTTATTTCCTCTATCAAACTGTACATTTATATCCATCAACCAACCTCTCCACCTCTCCTCCACCCATCCCAGCCTCTGGTATCTATCATTCTACTCTCTACCTCCATGAGATCAACTTTTTTCGTTCCCACATATGAGTGCAAACATACAATATTTGTCTTTCTGTGCCTGGCTTATTTTACTAATAACCTCTAGTTCCATTCATGTGGCTATAAATGACAGGATTTCATTTTTTGGTACAGCTGAATAGTATCTTACTATTTACATATACCCCCTTTTTTTTTTTTTTTCGGCCCCTTGCCCCCATATACCACATTTTCTTTAGCCATTCATCTGTTGATAGACACTTAGGTTGATTCCATCTATTTACTATCATGAATAGTGTTGAATTCAACACAGGTATCCCTTTAATATACTGATGTCCTTGCCTTTGATAAATACACAGTAGTGGGATTGCTGGAGAGTATGATAGCTCTATTTTTAGTTTTTTCAGAAATCTTCATACTGTTTTCCGTAATAGCTGTACTAATTTACATTCCCACCAACAGTGTATAAGAATTTCCTTTCCTCTGCATCCTCACCAACATTTATTTTATGTCTTCTTGATAATAGCCATTCTAACTGGAATAAGATGATATCTCAGTGTGGTTTTGATTTACATGAGTAAATTTAATAATTCATGCTGTTGAGCATTTTTTCATATACCTGTTGGCCATCTGTATAGTCTCCTTTTGAGAAATGTTTACTCAGACTTTTTGCCTACTTTTTAATGGGATTATTCGGAGTTTTTTTCTGTTAAGTTCCTTGTATACGCTGAGTATCAGTCCCTTGTCAGATGAATAGTTTCTACAAATATTTTCTACCATTCTACAGACTGTCTCTTCACTCTGGTGATTGTTTCCTTTGCTGAGCAGAACCTTTTAAGATTATAACAGCCCCATTTGTTTATTTTTGTTTTTGTTGCCTATGCTTTCGAAGTTTTAGCCATAAAATCTTTGCCTAGACCAATGTCCTAAAGCATTTCCCCTACACTTTCTTCTAGTAGTTTTATAGTTTCAGATCTCAAGTCTTTAATCCATTTTGTTTCGATTTTTGTATATAGTGAGAGACAGAGGTCTAGTTTCATTTTTCTGCATATGAATATCTAGTTTTCCCAGCAATCATCCTTTCCCTGCTAAATTTTCTTGGTGCATTTATCAAAAATCAGTTGGCTGAAAGTACCTGCATTTATTTCTGAGTTCTCTATTCTGTTCCATTGGTTTATGTGTTTGTTTAGCAAATCTGACCGAATCACTACTCTGTTTAAGAAACCACTTCATTGGTTTTCTGCTTTTCCTAAATTAGCACAACATGCAACATCCCTCGTGAGAGAGTCTTTGTCATCTTTCCTGTCTTCTTTCCCAACATATCCCACTAATATCCCATGTTCCAGTCATAACAATGTATAAAGATCTCCCAAAATGTATGTCTTTTATATCTCCTACAACCTTCCCTACATGTGCTGTTCTCTCTGTATCAAAACACCCTTTTCAGTCCCTTCAAGACCACTAGCCAAGCTTTTTTTTTTTTTTTTTTTTCATTGAAAATCATAATACTCAGATACCTGCTGCAAAATCTTCTCTTTTTTTTTTTTTTTTTTTTTTTTTTTTTTTTTTGAGACGG